AATACAGATGGTGTTCACAGCTGCATTAGGGATGGAAGTAGGGAGGCCAAGGAAATAAACTGTGAGTGACAGGTTTTGGGGTGAGGGTGGGACTGCAGGGGAGTCCCAAAGAAACAGCCATGAGCCCATTCCTCTGAGCCTACCTGTCCTCAGGCTCTTCCCTGCTCCTCCACATCTGAAGAAGCTGCATTGGTCCCACTGTGCCTCAAAGAAATAAAAATCTTTCTGGGAATTGTGTTAGGTCTGTGCACAAAAGAAAGATGTGATTGTTAAATCTCTGTATATTGCATTTATCGTGAAAGATAAAATGAATCAACATGATACATACGCTCAGAACAAATTTAATTCAAAACAGACACCACAAAAACACTAACGATCATAGCTGTTATTTAATTAAATGGGAATGAATAAGTTAAACCTTTCAAAGAGAGGTTGAACGCCTTGAAGCAGAACAAAGGCCAGGTGCAGGATCAGTATAAATCAGCATTGCTTTATTGTTACCTGATAAGGGCCGACAGAAGAAGGCGGTAGTCCTGTTTGTCTGGACTCTGGTTCAGAGTGTTGGGAAAGCAATGTGTAGATCTTACAAAAAGCATTTTCATACAAGGAGTTAAAAGAATGTTCAAGTCTGTTTCTGTGATAAAATACTGACTTCTTACCAGTCGGAAAAAAAAAAAGCAGTAAGAACAGATGCGAGCCTAGACAGTAGAAAAGGAATTGTGATGAAGAAGAAAGAAAGGTGAAGAAGGAAAGGTGAGCCTTAAGACTGCTAGGAGAGGAGGTACCCCTACCAAGGGAAATGCCTTGAGGAGAAAAGCAAGCCAGGAACACAGAGAAGTGCTGCTCTGCTGGACAGTTGCAGGCTGTGTGGGGGCAGCCAAGTGCCCAGCCCCTGCTCCCTTCCAAGTTGCTGCTGGGTGCTAAACCCCATTCATCCCACCTCAGCCCCTGCTGCTGGCCTGGGCTGGGAGCTGCTGGCAGTGGCTGTTCACAGGCTTCATTTCTCTATGGATGTACAAATCCGCACTTGGAAGTCAGAAAAATGGTGGGACAGGCCTAGCATAAAGTAGGAGGGAATACAGCACGAAGCTGCCCCTCCTAGCCCCTCTTAGTCGGCTCTCCAAACCTTTTCCTTTAGTTTGTCATACTTTGTATTATGCCAGGGAACATCTGGGCTCTAGTGACTGCAAATGAAATTTGCATGCATGTAGCAGATAATTAAACACGTGTCTATCCACAGCTGCAAACAGCAATTAGTCATAAGACAGCTTCTCACACCCCTTCGTGCCTTTCCTGCCATCTCAAGTGCCCCTTGAGCAGACATCTCTGCAAGGCAGAATATTGTCCTCCTTTCCATTTGTGTAGACAGCTACACAGCTGAGTTTAAACCCTGCAATACAGCTTTGACTAGCATGAATGTCCTCTGATATACAAATTTCTAGAGGAAGCTGCTTTCTGTGTAAGCTGTGATACAAGCGGCCAAAACTCAGATTCCTCTGCCTGCCTCCCAGCTGAGCTGGTTTTGTTCCCAATTGTACCATTCAACTGCTCACTTTCCACCACTGGTATCTTCTATGCTCGAGAATCTCAGCAGACGCCCTTGGCAAAAGCTGGGTTCTCTTCTCCTTTCATCTACTAAGAAGCTTCCATTGACCCTGCAGCTTCCACTCCAGACCTATGAAAGACATTTTAAAATCATCCCATCGTGTAAGCACTATGTCTGTCTTACCAGAGAACCTTCTGGCAATGGAGTTGTGGGCAGCGCTTTGTAGCCTAGGACAAGTGCCCTGATTTCTCAGGTAATAGAGTCACATTCTTTAGACAGGCAGAATAGAAAATGCCCAGGGCTACAACCAAGAGATAGCATTTGGTGTCATTTACAAAGCACAGCTAAATTCTAGTTTGGTGAAAACCAAAAACTGCGTCATCTATTCCTGAATTATAGCCCCTGGCTTTATATCTTTTAATTTATCTGTATACTAAAATAGAACATACTAATAGGGTGGGCTGTGACAAAGGCAGTCACGAGTTGGAGAGAAAAGGACTGGGATGTGATTGAGGGCACAGCTGTGCCTTGTGCAGTGGTTAGACTCAATGGAATTGTATCACAGTCTGGACTATGGTGATCATTCCATGTGGTGTCAAGCAGTCGTTTGAAAGTATAACTGCAGCTTCAGAAACTTATTAAGACCTGTCTGGAAACAACATTTTTCTTTTCATATAGATTAAATGAAGCCTTTTGTGTTTCAGTGGGGAATGCTAATGTGGGGCTCTTGTGAATGTCCTGTAATAGCAATGCATAAAACCAGCCTGGCCGGCACCAACAAGCACTGTTACATGCATCTGAAATTCAGGCATGGCTATGCTTATGAGAGCACATTCCACCACCAAATCCAGACAAAAATGTTAAGACTTTTACTATTAGCATAGGTTAACTCATTATTTTTTTATCTGGGATCCACAGAAAGTTCCAAGATATGTGGACCTTCTTGATTTTAAACAAATGGAAAGGCTAGACAAGAGCTTGTGTGGATATGACACTGCTCAGTAGCACTGGGACTTGTGATACAATATCTACTTGAATTCAGTAAGACCCATGATGTTTTCAGAGAATGGCTATTCATCTCACAATTCTATTTACATAAAAATTGGGTATCTACTCTAAGTTGTCCTTCTATCACCTCTGTGGAGGGAAGTTAGTTACTCCACTCCAAAACGTGCAGCCATACGAGGACATGGCAGCAACAAACCCAGCTTCAATCTCCCAAGGATCCATCTGGAGCAGCAAGAAGTTCACTGAATAAATTCCCTGAAGAATGCAGCACTTGACTACAGGACTAATAATTGCACTGCCTTGCTACCTAGCTGTAGAAAAGCCTTTGTACAGTGTTGTCAGCAGGCCACAGTGAAGAAAAGAACAAGCCAGAAAGAATTATCTCACACTGCCAATTATAGGGAAGATACGTCATTATAAATGCGTTTGTTGCTGGTCCTTTCTATTATTGAGGTACCCAGATAAAGTGCAGCCAGCTCCTGGCATCTCTGTATTATGATGCTGCAGTTCCTCATGTTAATTTGGTGCTTGGATCCATAGCAGTAGGTCTGCCAGCATTTCTCTACCTTCTTATTTTTCAGTGCCTTGGTGCTACCACCAAGAAATCTCTATTGACTGTATTGGTTTTGCGATGAGCCAGGCACAGAGATAGATGGGTTCATGTGCATCTTCTCAAATTTGACCCTACACCAAGGAAAGTAGTATATATGAACTGCTTTTGTGCTTTATATGATTTGAAGCTTGAGAACCCATGGAGAAAATTTGGCTGAACCCCACGTGAAAGGCATGTAAAATAGATGCGAGATAGAATATGTATTTCCATGTGCTTACAACCCTCTAAAAATAGGTAAGTTAAAGACTTAATAAATGAAAGGAATGGAAGGATAAAAAGGGGAATGTTTTCTGGAAGCATTTGAGAAAAATGCTAATGGAATGAAAAAAGGGAGAGTGTACTGAAAAAAAATGAAAGATGATTTCTTCTTGTGCTATGTCTGGAAGAGGAACACGGGAAAAAATGGCCTGCAGTAAAAGCATAGCTTTTCTCACTGCAATACTCTGGTTATTGCTGTGCATAACTCATAATAGCTAAAATTACGCAACACAGCTTAAGGTACTTACATGGTTGGTAGCTCTCAGCTTCACAAAACACCGCTGGTAGAAGAATAAATAGTGAGTCAGTACAGAACAAGTCACTTGATGCATGGCTTTAAAAGGCACTGTGCTGTTTAAGGGCAGGAATGCTTTCAAAATCCAAATACACTAAAAAAATGATAATAATTAAAGGAGGGTATTAGGTTTGTCATTCTGCTGATTCTGCTGTTATTTTCATCAGAACTCTGCTCTGTGACATGTTAAGATCTGCAAGTCCTGTTGTGATTGCCATTAGATGCACACGGAGTCTTGACGTTGCCATTTCCCTTTATCTGCAATGCAGCGTTTCTCTTGCTGAGCACATGCTCTATGTGCCACTTCTGCTACCCACATTCTGATAGGCGTTGTTCACAAGAATGTTTCACTCACAGAAATGTTTGTTAACTCACATACTTCCCTTGACTGACAAATGCCCAAATAGGAACATATTACAAACCAGATGGGACAGAGAGTGTATTCCAAACAAACAGCCTGTGTTTCCAGAAGTGGAAGAATGGAAAAATCTAATGATAAACAAGGGAGAAATCACTTTATTTTAGAGAACAGACCCTTAGTCAATGGTATGCTTCTGCTGATTTCATTAAGTACCAAGTAACACTTGGTTCTGCTTAATTTCCCTTTGGAACTCACAATCAAGCCAGTCAAACATCAGCTTCTAGATTCTCAAATTCTATTTCAAATTAAATGCCAGGTGCCAAAAATAATATCTTCAAACAACAAATACATACTTTAATGTCTGCTTTATAATTTTGCACATCAAAATGGGAAGAATGTTGCATGAATTTAATCAAATATTTATGAAAGAAAAACTAGTAGAATAAAAACGATGTGAGCACACATCTACCTAAGCTGTTTGCTCTAGAGAATGCTGTAGCCTGAGTGTATATAAATAGACATACTGTTTGAATATATACTTAATAGAAGATGATCTCTTTGCTGTAAGTTTATACAAATAGATGACTTTTCTTGCATCCTCTAATTAATGGTACAACTAGTCATGTGTTCTTGAGAGAAGCAGAAGTGTTCAGACCAAAGCCCAGGTTTTGCAGATGAGAAGTTACTATCCAGAAATAAAAATTCTGATATCTGGGGTAGCATCTGTCTCTCAATATGCTTTTCTGGCTTTTTTTCTGTCTTATGATACATGCTGTAGATCATACTGCCTCTTTTAAAAGCCAGTTGCCATGTCTGTGTGTGCAAGCCTCGGAGAAGAGTTTTGTAAAGAACAGAGCACTGTGTTCCAGGAGACAGGATTAAACTCTGAAAACATAAGGAACTGAAATAATCAGGGACAAAGACATCAGTAGCTAACAGAGCACATACGCAGGGGAAGAAGCTCGCCATCTTTGTAGGGATATACACTGCTGACAGGGCTACTGAAATGAATGTAATCTCCGTGGTCTGTTCCAGTTACAGTCAAGATGCTTTTGTCTGAGGTGGTCGCAGACTGATGAATCTTAAGGCACCAGTACTGAAGCACAGACGTTACGAAGTTATTGCACGTTACAATAGATAAGAGAACCCATTCACAGAGAAGGTTAAGTGTCTCGATGAAAGAGGAAAGTTTCCTTGTTGCAAGTGACACAAGGTAACTTTCAGGTGGCCGCGGTTTGCGTGATCTTGAAGAGGAACCTACAAAACCTACAGCAAAAAGAAATTGAAAATGCAACTGAAGGAGGACATCTGCACAGGAATCCACACTTTGCAATTTTCCCTAATGCCAGCAGATTCAACTACCTCAGCTCCTTCATATGCCTTCTTCACAAGCTGAGCTCCTCGTGCCTTTCACAGCCAAATGACAGCTGGTCTCTCCTTCATGTTTTCTCTTTACCTCAAGAACTGGTCATGGCAGTTGTGACTACCTGACTACCTCTCAATAAAAAGACCTGGATGATGTATCTATGCATAAGAAACAACAACCTGCCTACATAAATCTGTGTTTTGTGTCACAATAAGGTTGTTGTCAATGGGGTCTACTGATTTTTCCTCATTAGGATTTTTAACCAAATATTCCCTGCTCTCAGAAAGGTGAGTTAAAGGGACTGCAGTTTTCAAAACTGAAAAACAACCCTGAAGTCTAACATGGCCAGAATAACACCTCTGTAACCCGACAGAGGCCATTCTACTTTTGCAGTGAAGGACTGAGGAACAAGCAAGTGGAAAATGTTAAGATGCTAAATATAAAGTGCATGCAATGCCAAAAGTTCCAAACAAAAGTAGAAACGTAAGAACGTTGCCTACAAGTAACCTTTAGACAATCTCATTTCAAATTGCATTATGCATCAAGCAGCTTGACACCTTTGAAAAAAATATTTACTGCTAAACTACTACAAGAAAAATATGCCTTAGCAAGATGTCATTTCATTCTAAATACCTAAAAATATGCTCTACTAGGATTTCTGATTTCTAAATTACAGAGACTAAGAGGAGTACCAGCACAAAGGGCACTTACCAAGGCTGCTACGTTTGCTACAGGATATCTGTGGCCTTGCTGACTACTCATTTTTCAACCTAAATTTGAAAGCACAGAGGCCCATCCTCAGTGACTGGGCAAATGACTTGTTTGTGAACACTACACACATAGAGTAGTGTATATACACACATACAAGGGAACATATTGAGATAACTCCTTTTCAAATGTGTCAGAGCTTAGAAGAGGCTTCATGCACAAACAAGAAATGCAGGAAGACTGGAGGGAACCTCCAAAGCAGATCAGCAAAAATGATTAGATGTTTAAGATTTATGTCCTGCTTGCAAAAGATCAGGGTGAATGGCTTTGTTATTTGTTCTAAAACAAGAAACATTCATAGGAACCCAACCAAGTTCCCACACCAACGATATTGTATGGAACAAATAATGTTTATATATCCCAGTATGGGCAGCCTACCTCTCCCTCTCATACACCAACTCACCGAGCTCACCAGTTTTCATTTGCTCTTATCCCTCTTCTGTAGCAAAGATGCAATCAATTGTTTTCAGTGCTCACTGGAGGGAGAACAAGAGGGAAATCTAATTTGCACACTCTCAATAGTGAAAGTACTTCAAGGACATTTAGAGAAAGATTTGTCTGTTATGACCTACATGAACTCATTCTGACTCCCAAGAAAGGGCCGGACAAGAATTAGTTGATTTCTGGTAATCACTTTATTCTTTGTATTTCACTCCCTCTGGAGTGCCTGATTGAGCAGATATTTTTGCAATCAAATGTAGCTCTGAAGCCTGTAAGAAGTTATTTCTCCAAAAGTAAGACATCCTAAATTGGCTCTTAAAATTCGAGTCAGATGATGATTATTTTGTGTAGAAGCTTTTCCAATTAATTCTCATACAACAGGCCAGCATGTGGCTGCTGCCTCAGCAGAGCAGCTGTAAGTATTTAATACTTTTGCATTCCTTTGTTTTCTCTGGAACTGTGTGCATATGCTTGGTGATTAGCAAATTCTGAAGGATAAAATAAGCAACACACCGAAACGCCCTGCCACTTAGCAGATTTTATATAGCAAAAATTACACACCTTCATATGCTCAAATGAAAATAACTCTGTGACCGCACACGAACTCATCTCATTATGTGACTGATTATTCAGTCTAGAGCAACTGTATGTGTGGATAAAAAGAAACATTATCAAATATAATCAAAACATTAACTACCACCACCAACAAAACAGCAAAAACTGAGCAGCAGCACCAGCTAATAATGGTTAGAAATGCTCTTACTTGCTCCATCTCACGTTTCACTTTCCTTTTGACTTTACAGGAACTTCATGTCCTCTGACCCAGCCATCCCCATGACTTCTCGGTGCAAAACTGCCACGGTTACAGACTGCATGTTCTGAGGAAACAGAAAAGAGCAGCCACAAATGAATGCTCAAGAGAGCAGGACAGAGGGATTGGTTGCTTTTCAGCTGGTAGTTCTCAATAAAGGAAGGGCTGCCTGTGAAAAATAAGCAAGAAAAACCGAAAGTTTATGAGAGGAAGGAGTAGTAGATTCTGGACTAAAATCCTCTCCCACAAGCAGAAATTGTTCTTTTAACTGCTACTGTTGTAACACTCTTTAATCAGAGGAAAGAGTCAAGAGACTCAATTTCAGTACCCCTGGAATTATGTGGATGAAGAGGCTCATGAAGTGTGTTTTACCAGGAGATGTATGCATGGCCTCTATTTATTGACAGAAGAGATGGTCATTTCAATGCATGTCCTTAGGTAGGGTTTAGCCCTTAAAATGACAATAGACGTTAATAGGAAAATACGAAGAGAAAGCTCTGAAGATTGGCTTAGCTTTGTAGTATTGCTTAGTTGCTGCTCTGTGTGGAAAATGCATGATGATAACAGATGTAGAGCTCACCACTCATTAATATTGAAGCGATGAGACACAACAGGCAGAAACCTTCATTATTGAGACCCACCGCTACAGTCTGAGGCACAAAGCACAAGAACAAGTGGCTCTGGCTGCTTGAAAATTACATTTCCTTAGAAATGTACTTAAGAATCTTGATATTCTTTTCCTTACAAAATGCAATATATTCAAACAGAGAGGATACTCACTTTTGTGTATTCACCAGCTTGAGTTCTCAAGTCCAGCTTGACATAGAGAGCAGTGCTTCCAACAGCTGGTGCAGAATAGAGAGCTACATCCTTGATTCCTACACCCCTGCATAATTAGCGGTGGGTATCACCTGATATTTAACTGGAATGGCACATCTTCCAAAGGAATTCAAAATTACAGCAGCTGTCTCTGCAGGCTTGTATTAGAAGCTGAAAAAATGTGGAAGAATCTGAAGATTTTCACTAGTATTTTCCACACTTTATATGCATATACAGCCAGGCTTTCTGCACTGCAGAAGAAATGCTAATGCAATCCTGCAAGATTTTACTTCCCTTTACTTAAATGAACAGTGGCTCTTGCTTAAGTGCTGGTGATCAAATATTGCAAATTCAATGCTGACATTTTATCTCTATCTTAAGAAGTGTAAGTTGAACCAGGCTTACTGAGGTGTTCCAGAATAGATGTAGAATTTTGGAACAAAATAGGCAAAAAGAAACCCAGCAAAATCAGATTTAGGGCAGTTTGAGCAAGCAGCAAGGGGTTGCATTGCCTCACCCAGACACACTGGAGAAGGGCCCTGGGACAAGTGGGATTTAATTTATAGAGTGAGGAAATGAAACTCAAAAAAATATTATCATAGGACTTTCTTGTTTCTAATTCCTTCTCTCAGATGCTGTAGATAAATCTTTATGCTTTCTTTAATAACTGATTCTCTCTTACTACCATTTTTGCCATTCTCTGTGACTCATGGAATTTATAGTAGTGTTAAATTCCAGTTAGACTTATGGAGGAAAAATATTGCTGTAAAAGTTATTAACTCAGGGATTCTATAAAGATGACGACTGTAGGAATTTTCCCTGTCAGAAGCACAAAGACAGGTCAGAAGCTTGGGAGAGAAATTTAGTGTCCAAAGGTACAGACAATATTGAACTACAACAACATCGTCCTGCAAAGGCACTATAAAAACACTATATTTTCATCTCGTACAGAATGCAAAAACTGTAGCTACTTTGCCTTTTATCTCTTTAACAAGTGCTAAGAAAAACAGAGTAAAGATCTTAGAGATTTTAGACCAATACATTTATTTACAGTACAGTTCTTGCTCCCCATCATTAACTCACTGTATTGTCCTTCAGTGATTACAAACCAATTTGCTCAATCTCTTTATATAAGAGATAACAGTAACATAGATTATCCAATGCTGAACTGCATTGAGCTGTGGGGTAAGTGGAAAATTGGTCACTGGTTGAACCTCTCCTGAAATTACTGGCTGACATTCTTGTGTGCACCTATCACACCGATAATGCTATGCTGTCAGAGATTAAAATATATGTATATAACAACAAAGATGTCTATAGTGTTGATATTGGGAAGTACATATCAACCTAGGTCAGCCAGTACAAGTAATACACGTCACTCTGTTTATTTCTGTGCTCCCCAGACCGTTCTTGGTAGGCTGAATCAGCAGTACCACATCCTGCATGAATAAAACTAACGGTAACCCATCACAAGACCTCGTCTGCTGATATTTGGCAGACATACAGCCCTGCTGGTTTCTAATCAAGTTCTTCCAAAAAATGCAGTTCTAATGCAGTCCATAACAATATGGGCACTATAAGACTGCTGTTGCTAAGTTCTTACATGTAAACTGCAGGTGTCACACTGCTTCATTAGTGGTGTTTACATATGTTACTTTTCTACCAGAGCAGCTGAAATACAGAACTATTCTGCCCAGTTCTTTCACAGATTTAGAGCCATGTTTCTGGAGACTTGATTTAAATACTCACAACTGGTGTTTCAAAATGAATAGCTATCTACCGAAGAGTTATAAAAGCATATGTAACAGAAAACATGATCATTGCCTTGCCTGAGCACAGTCTGGGTGCTAGAAGGAAAATCTCAAAGAATTCTTGCTCCTTAGTGCAAGAACCCTGCAGAACAAAAAACCTGTGGAGAGCACACAGATCCACTACACTATTACTCAGCCAGGGGGGGCAAGGAAATAGGGTCTAGCTTTGGAAATAAGCAGGTGTCTCACAAAGGACTTGGCTCGTCACTGCTCTACAGAAATAGTACTCAGAGGTAGGAGTTTGCATCCTCTATCCCTGATTCTCAGGGAACCCACCAGATTCATTGCTTCCTGGCCAAACTGATTGTATATGGCTAAGGGAAATCAAAACATAAACCACTCCTTGCCCACAAAATCCTGCATGGGAGATAAAAATAAATAATTAAAAAAAAAGAATTACTCCTATATGGTTATCTGCAATGCAGTGCCCTACACACAGCTGAAACAGTGAGTAAACTGCAAGCTGCGACTTCCTTTTTATGAGGCTGTTTGAATACAGGAGGCCAACTTTCACAGATGAGAAATAAATGCATGGGAGAGCTTGTGGTTCCCCACACCCTCTGTGCTGACTTCCCAAAAGCCTTGGAGATGCTCTTTGGTAGATGTGCAGTGTAACAGAAGGCATGCTCTATTTAAACCACCTGAGTATCAAGCTTTGCTCGGAGGAGCTGGGAATCAGCCAAAGCACCTGATTAGTACCTGGCAGATTTCAGAAGGCTCCCAGCATTACACATCCCTCACTTTTCAAAAAGCACCTTTCCAGGAGGGATTGGGTACAGAGTATTTCCCTAGGTGATGGTAGCTATTCCCACAGGAAGTGTGGTACAGAAATACTGCTACTTGATTCACAGGAAAAAGATGTTTTTCTTGACAGGGAAGAGGGGTTGGTTCTAAACCCCTCTGTGGTCCCATTCTTTTGTATTTTAGTGAGGAAGAAAAGAAAACAAAGAGCGATACTTCAATTTTCACAAGAGCAGCTGAGCTGTAGCATTGCCCTAGCTGGCAGGAGGAAGACCAGGCTGTAGGTAATAGCCTTTGTCTCTACCTAAATTTATTTAAGCACAATAAAGAAATCGTTCTTCCTGCAAAGGGGGGTGAAAATATCACGGGTGAATTTTCAGTCCAGGTACTTGGCTCTTTGGAGCTGGAATGGATCTATTTTTGCAGGTGTACATTCTCACACATCCATTGTTTGTGACAATGTGCAAAAGTAGGCTGAAGACAACTTGCAAAACGCTGTGATTATTGCTGCCCGCTCCATGGGCAGCTTCACATTACAGCTAATACAGGTATTGAGGGGCAGGGAAAAAATACCCCAAACCTGTTGGGCTTAGGCTGGGAAAGTCAAAAGCCCTGCTCTAGAAAACTGCAGTCACTGCTTGAGTGAATGCTGCCACTAATTAAAATCGCTTTTCAAAAATAAAAAAGAAAAAAAAAAAAAAAGAAGAAAAAGGCTATTTTCCCTGCAAAAGGAAAGGCACGTTAGGAGAGGTCTTCATTACTTTCACACCAAAGGAAAAACATAGCGGATCCTGTGGAAACCCTCACATCAATTTGCTGTTTGCCTACGAGGAGGGTAGTGTAGCTGGGGGTAACGCTGCAGCAACTGAGGAAAGAAAGAAAAGGTAAAAATACACATATGTACGTGTGTGTGTGTGTATGGAAAGAGCTCCACAAAAGAACTCCCTCCAAGCTTGCATCAGCACCCGCTGGGGGTCAGAGGAGGGGCAGCGGCCATATGAGGGCGGCAGACCTTGCTACGAGGAGGAATCCCAACGTCATCCTCCTCACCTGGTCACTCTCAACCGACGGAGCTTCCTCTCTTCAGAGGACCCAGAGGCTTCTAGACCTCCTCAACAAACCCACAACCCCCCACAGCAACTCCCAAACCTCGCCGGCTCCGCACAACCCCTCCCCCGCCTCATCCCTCTTCCACCCAGCGCAGCCGCGGGCGGATCCGACCCCCGCCCGCTACCACCCTCGGCCCGCCGGCCGCCGTGGCGCATGCGCGGTCCCCTCGGCGCCTGCGCGGTGCGGAGCGAGGCGGGCACCGCCGCGTTCCGAGGGCTACGGGCGCGAGGCGGCTCCGTGTCGCTGCAGCGCGGGAGGGCTGCTGACGGGACGCGGCCCGGCCGCGGGCACCCGGCGCCTTCCTCCGCGGTAGAGACAAGGAAAGGACAGAGCCGGCCGCGTCCCGCTGCCCCCTCGCCCTTATGGCCGGCTCGGAGCAGCCGCCGGCGCGGCGGGAGGACGGGGAAGCTCCGTTGCCCATCGAGGACTCGGAGCTGGCGCTGGCCGGTATCAACATGCTGCTCAACAACGGCTTCCGCGAGTCCGACCAGCTCTTCAAGAAGTACCGGTGAGCCCCTGGGCGCCTCCCCGCATCGGCGGCTCTCGCGCAGCTGCCCCGGGCTGGGGGCGGCGGCTCTGCCTGCCATCGTTTGTCTGAGCGGGGCCGGGGCTGCTGTAGTCGTGCATCTCTTCTGAATAATTGATGTGCTCTGTGCGGCTGTTGTCTGTGTGATTAAAAATACCTCCGCTGGCTTAGAATAGCGCTTCGTCAGCGATGCTGTACTTCAGCACTGAAGTTTTATTTGCTAAAGGTGAAGCTTGGTGCAAAAGGGTGTCTGGAAGGGAACTTGCAGCTTCAGAACCCCCCCCTTCATAGCAGAGTACTGCATCGCTGTGCACCTGCCACAGCCTTAAAGGTTTTGTTCCATCCTTGGTGCGTGCTGCCCTGTTCCGTAGTGCTGCCTTGCTGCCAGCTGGTTGTGTGGTGTAGAGCTGATTGCAGCGCTGCAGGTGATGAGGAAGGTCCCAGCTCTCGTGTTGGCTGATGTCATAGGTTGCTGTAGGTATCTTTTTTTTTTTCTTTTCTTTCAGGGTGCCAATTAAGGAAAACCTTACTGTTTTTCTTGCTCTGCCCTCTCTGTGGTTGTTCTTTCTCTCACTGATATGAATCTAGGAGCAGTCCAGGAATCCTAGATATGCAGTGTTCTTGTGTTGTAGAATAATGCTTGGGAGTACAATGGGCATGGTTCCTGTTCCTGTGTTCAAAATGCAGTTTAGTTCTCCCTGTAGTACAAAGAGAATAAGTAATGATATCTTCTACAAATTCTATTCTTGTTTATCTGTAACATTTGCTTCTATAGATCTCACTTGAGAAGTGCAGAAGCTTCTCTCTTTTTTTTTTTTCTTTCCAGGTGCGGGCTTCTTTGTTTGATTTTTATCAAAAGGTGTCCTTTAGCTTAAGTGTATTGTTTGATCTTGGCCTTTAAACACTACCCACAAGGAGTAAATTGGAATTCCTTCATTAGGTTAAGTGGTTTTGCCATTCATAAATTAATAATCACCATCTTGTTTTTTAAAAATCTCTGCAAAAAAAAAAATTTCTGCAAAAATCTCCAGCCTCGTCCCAAAATATGTAGCAGGGTTCTTGCTGGAAACTGACAGCCCTTTGTTGAGATGCAGGTTAGGTGTATATTGCAGTTTCATGTAGAGGTGGGAAAGAAAATACAGCAAAGCATGCTTAATCTGCAAATTCCAGTTCTGGAGACATCTGGGGAATGGAACTTCCCTTGGTCAACAGCTTTCAGTTCAGTACTGGTTTCAGACTGTTCTTCCCTACAAGGACTTAAGTAATACAGTTATGTGTTTATTTGTATACAGCCCTAAATAAGAATGTTTTTGTTGGTATGCACTTGAAATTTTCAAGTAGAGCCTATCCCAAATGGGATTGGTAGGCTGAAGGAGCAGCTTTTGGGAGTTCTCCCTAGTTCGGTGTTGATGTTTGTCACTTGCAGCATTAGGGCTCAAAGCTGTCTGATGAAATGCAGCTTTTTGAACTTAAGCCTGGTGTGAGCGTGTGTTAACAGTTATGCCTTCACTTTTAGCAGTTATCATCAGATAAATGGAAAAAAAAACCCACCAAAAAACACACTACAGAAACTTTTCAGGAGCCTATAAGGTTATTTGTTTGAAAACTTAACTACACGCTGACACTTCGGTTCTGTTAACCACATTGTTTGATCAAGTAGAATTGTTCCCTAGAAACTACTGATTTTGCTTCTGCTTTTTATTTCTTATTTCATTATTACCTTTGTTACTTCCTCACTTGCTACCAGAATGATCTTGTGAAAAATCAGTGCTGCTTTGAGACAGTGGACAACCTTGGTGACTCTAAGGAGAGCTGACATTCCAAAGTGAACTCAAACTGGTTTCTTTGGTACACGGTGCCTGTGGATCTTCCAAAGAGCTGTCTGAGCACCTGATCAGTTCAAAAAAAAACAACCCGTAACTGCTTGTAATGCAGTTCTTGAGGAAACAAAGGTAGAAATCGCAGTGTATATGTAACTGCAATGATAAAATTCTGCCTTTGAATTGGTTGCCTTTGGAATCATTGTTACTATGTCATGCAAAGACATAGTTAAGAAAATACTGTGCCTTTTGATCTTTAGGGTTTGTGTATGCCTGTTTAAAACCGAAAGAAGTCA